ATCCCAAACACCTGAGACACTCTCAGCCATAGATAATGTAGGCAAAGGTTCTTGGCGAGTGGAATCAAGTCCCAATTTTTAGTGAACCCACACTTTTCTATCCAGACCTACAAAACAACAAACAAGAAAAGGATTAAACACAATCCCTATTCTCCTGCTTTTTGTACTTTGGGAAGAAAAACATAACCCTTGGTGGCTGTCTTGGAGATGGTGAGCTTGGGTTCACTTCTTCCTATCCTATCTCCCGCACAGCTAGACCCTTGACAGGCAGCATTTGATCTCCAGGCATGAAGAATTTATTGTTCCTTTAAAAACAATTTTTAAAAAAACCCATGGATTCCATTTTCTGGTTTTCTACAACTACAAGGAACACACCCTAAATTATTACACAATAAACCTTTTCCTTCCATAAACTGGTTTACTATAAAACAGCATCAACCACAGCTCTGAATGGTATATATATGGTGTCCTGGCATATCACCAAAGATGCATGAAAATATATGCCATTAATGGCATCTTGTATATGGCAAGAAAAATGCTATTAATAAACCAGTATGGTTTTACTGTAGAGAAACCAAGGTCCTGAGAGTTGTTAAAGTCTGTAAAAACATAGGAAGACAATGAACACTGTCAAAACTCATCATGACTGAAAAATATATATGAATAATCATATTTCTTTTGTTTTTTGAATTTAGTCATATTTCTTATTGTAATGTGTTATTTCTTACATTGTATCATAAATTTATGGTTGACAAATGGCCAACTGATATTCTCCATAGAGAAGAACAACTGGCCTCTTGTTCGGATCATATGCACTTTAAATATGATGCTGCAAGGCACTAAGTACTGGCCTCACAATCACAGATAGTTGTGGAGTAGCAGGCAATAGAACAGGAGCTCTCAGTGAGAGGTAATAGGGTTTGAGGGTGGGACATAGCTCTGAGGGTCGAGTGCTTTCTTAGCTTGTACAAGTCCTTGGGTTTGATTCTTAGCACTGATTAAACAGTAAGAGAAAGAGAATATTACCTTCCCAATGTGCTGTACCAAGTATAAGACAAGAGGCTTGGCCTAGTTCCGCAGGGTCTTCCAGACAGACAGCTTCTTATTTTCTGATTGTTTTTGTGTGCCTTCTACTGGAAAAGCTAATTAATTACCTAACTATTTATGAAGGATTCAATCCTGATTTGTATTCATTAGTTTACTACTTTTGCTATTGTCAGAAAGGCTTCTATTTCAGATCTTAAATTTCACTGGGAAGCCAGTTTTTAACACCTCCTGTACTTCCAGATCTGATCGAGGCACAGTCCAAAACAACATCGATAGCTTCACCTTAGAGCAAACTTGTGTGTGCCATATATTTGTCTATATTGTTGAATCTATGGAAGCTTTGAAGGATTCCATAGGGGCCCTCGGCTTAAGAAAGGTCACGAAGCAGGGACTCCACGAAAGGAGAGTGTGCCGTGTGCTGTGCACATGCAAACTTATTTTAAAGAATCCATATAGAAAGCCTGGTTGATGTATGAAACGCAGAAATCCTGGGCTATATTTTAAGTAAAAATTCTTTTCAAGGTAATGTAAGTAGGATCACCTTGAATTCATTTTCGAAGAGAACAACCAGATAGCAAATATTTCAAAATGCCTGAAAAAAAAATCAAATGTGACCCACACGTCTAGTAGGGAAATAAAAGCCAGAACTTTGGGAGGCATTTTTCTACTCCAAATTACCTTGCTATATAGAAAATTCATCATTTTTAAATTCCCCTTATATAAGTTATAATAGTTCTAGGTCTTACTATAAAAATACTTCACAAAAGTAAAGTAAAAATAATTTTTTATTCTCTTGCTGAAAGCAACTCTTCCTTTTTTCAGTTTTTTAAAGTAAATTTGGATTAATACTCCAAAGCAGTTAGTCATTTAAATAGAGACCTTAAAAGGGTAGAACCCATGGATGGATTATTTTTAAACCCGTAAGTTTGCCTTGGGATGAAGTAGTACCCCATGGAGATATTCAATACTATAATATCATTCTTTAAACAAGCACTCTGAGAAGTCCCTAATAGCTATATTTGTCATGTTTGGCTTGGAGAATGTCATTTTATTATATGATCAATGCAGAATAATTTTGGGGGGTAAGCAATAGTTTGTGCCAAAAAAATAATCATCAACATGGGTCCTCCAGTGTCCTCCTCCATTTGGTGTATTAGCTGAGCCCGGTTTGGGTTGATTCCGGAACAAAGGGCTTCCAATTTGTCAAGCAACAGCTCCCATCTGGTCTATTCTCTTGCCAAGTCCCAGCCCAGACCTGGGCTCATGTGTCTAAAATTTCAGCGGCAACTGAGACCATGTGTCTCTGCACTAAAGAGGAAAAGCAATTATTTCTGTGGGTGACCAGATGATTTCTATAGCCTCTGCTGAACACAAACGATCTGCTGAGCACCACCTCAGTAGTGGTTTTACTCTCTCTTCCTCAGAAATGGTATTGACTCCTTCAGCTTAAGGACTTTCTATGTAAAAGGTCGCACAGCAGTGGGTTAGGTGGATGGGAGGCTTGCCTGAGTCCTCATTCTGCTACTTACTGGTTGTGTGACATTTGGGAAGAGCCCGTGTCTCCCCAAATGTCAGTTCCTCCCTTTAGAAACTGTCAGGTTGGGTGACTTTTAATTTTTCCCTAATTCCTATACCTGTGTTAACCTCATGATTTGTTGTGAGACTAGGAAATAAAGTCTGGGATTTTGATTTTGTTTTCTTAGGTCTGAATTTTCCAATTTGAAACTGGGCAGCCTAACTAGAAGGTTCTGTGTTGGAAAACAACTCAAAGGTGGCAGGTGGCCATCCAGCCCTTGGGTATTCCATTTGGCTGGAGTTTGTTTGCTTAGCACCTTCCATTTCTGTTTACTTAAAATTTGGCTCACTGAATCAGGCTCAAAAGAGACACCTTTTGCTTTTGACAAAGGTCCAGTGAGAGGGAAAAGGGTCATGCAAAGGTAGCAGGATCAGCAGCGTCCTCTCCAGTCTCACAGGGCGTGACGCAGAACACTCAGCATCACAGAAAAGACCGATGGCCATGGCTTCCGTCCCTCTAAAGCAAACCAGTAGTCAGAAAATATCACACCTTAATCTTTTCATTCACAGTTTTTTCTCTTCCTCAGTACTCTGTTAATAACCATACTTTCGTGTCTGCTGCATGGATTAGGTAGGATATTTTTTCCCCCTGACTTTCAGGAGCTAGAGTTCTGGTATTTCTTTTCCTTAGATATTTACAATTTATAATCCTATAATGTAAAAGTATCTAGTAAAGGAGAAATTTACCTCATGTGTTTCATGAAGGCAGTTATAAACCCAGATATGTCACACCATGAACATATCGGACATCAAATTCAACCAGCATCTCTACTTCACTGGATTCCTGCTGTGATCTTTTTGTGTTTCACACTCAATGATGGAAAGCATGATCCTTGAACAGGAAACATACAGCAAGTCTGTAGGGTCTCATTTTAGCTGACACTGATTTAAGTACATGTCAGAGAGCCACTCACAGATCCTTCATGTCAGGCAGGAGCTCCTGACTCAGGCCAGTGTTTTACACCACCATGCTCCTTGCCCTAGTCAGGGCACATTGGCCAATGTCTCAAGACTTTAGCTAGCCACAACTCAGGCCATGGGGAATATGTTCTTGACTACTAGTAGGTAAAGGCCCAAGAGACTGGTAAGTGTCCTACAAGGCACAGGACACCAGAAGAGAACACCTGCATGTCTGCACCAGCCTCCTGCACCCTTGGAGCTGGGTATCCGATTGCCAGAGTTGCCTCACTTCAGTTATTATAAAACCAACAACTGGTGCTGTATTTGCTTAGTCCATCCAGATCTAAGCTTTTATTTACTTCACACATGGTGTATGCAAATTAACTCATCTTCAAATGATTTAGCCTTACCAGCAATGTCCGTGAAATTGCAGGCTCGATGTTCTAATTCCATTTTCTATGTACGTCAGAATAGAAATGTGACTATGGGTATAAATATGCTTATCCATGTTCTACCTAAAAGTTTTCCACAGACTACTGCTCCTGCCAGATGCTAGGAATGGTTTTAGAGGTATTTAGGTTCAACTATTCCTCTGTGAGTTGAGTCCCTGCAGTCGCATCCTTGCCAAGTGGTCATGCAGCCAATTCCCATCCACTGATTCAACAAACAGTTCCTGAGTGTAGGTCATGTACAAGACAGGAGATAGTGTGTGTGTGTGTGTGTGTGTGTGTGTGTGTGTGTGTAGGGTGTTACAACAAGACTGGGTCCCAACTTTTACAAGCTGGGGAACAGGGAAACATTATCTAATTTTCTGCCATACCTGCTATACATTGCCCAATTTCCTACTCCTGTCTGTCATAAAAACCGGCGCATTTAGAGGGAAAAAAGTAAACACCACAAATGACATCCCAAGGCCATTTCCACTTAATAGAATCAAAAACTGCAAAGGCTTTGGCACCCTCATTTCTTCCTAGGATGTACGGAGAACCACATGGGGGAAAATATGAAGGGGACCCATGCCCTACAAGGGTGGGCAGTCTCCCTAACTTAGGTACCTCACCCACGGCGTCTTGCCTCTTGACCACTCCCTCGCGTCCTGGAACTATGAGGTCGTAACCTGCAACTCTTCCACTGTTCCTGAGCTGTTTGTGTCATGTCGGCTTAGTTGTTCTTTTTTTCTTTTTCCTGGCAAACACTGCACCCCCTCTGAACCGCACCATTTGCACACTGTGAAGGCTGCCAAGGAGACCCTGAGGACAGTTGTTCTTTCCTTTACCTCCAGACAAGCCCAGAGGTATCCTCTGTATAAAATGTCCACAGTTAAGCTACCCACAAAAAGCTAAAGTCGAGCAAATATCAAAGCTTGCTGATTCTGAAAACTAAGTGAAAACATGCCTTTTGTCTCAGAGTACAATAATCACAAACCTTTCTTTCTTCCATTAAAGAGAAATAGAGACAGAGGGGCAGAGGCCAGAACAACTCCCTCAAGCTGGTGGATATAACCAGGTTGCCTCTTGCTTGAAGACTGATTCTGTGCTAAGCATTAGTTCACTTTCTTTGCCTAAAACCCCTGTAAAGTCATTGTTCCCACTTTACAGATGGGGAAGCAGCCGCGAAGGTAAAAGGCAGCAGGTTACTCCTGACCAGGCTTTGAGCTACTGCTCTTGGGCTCCTGGACTCTGGCCCTGGGACTTAGTTGTGGGGAACCTTTTTCATCAGAGCTTTGTAGGTGGAGTAACTAAAAACTGAATGAGTTATTTTGTTGTGTAGAGTGCCCCAGAATTAATAAGGCTTGACGCACAGGCTTGCACCTCCTGTGAGGGCTGGAGATGTGTGTAGCGTGCCTGCTAGGTCAACAAGTGCCCACAGGGCAGGAAACGCCAGCTCTGCACAGGGCCTTGAAGTCGCGGGGGAGAGACAGTGGCTGGCACCTGAAGCTGCATGTTTGTCTGGGTGAGTTCTTCTGCTTTCTTTTCCAGTGACATCACCCAGACCTTCCTCTTCTGTCTGCAGCGGGTGGCAGCTGCCCGGTTTCGTTCCAGAAATTTCCGCCGCCTCTCGTCGGGATCCTCGTCCACCACCCTCCGTCGGCGCCCCCCTGTGGGCTGGGGCGGCTGTATTGTCTGGGTTGGCTGCATCTGTTGTGTAGCTGGTGAAACCTGTGGGTGCAGAGAGGAAGGACTGGATGGGCACAGGGAAGGACACAAATTGCCTAACGGGAGGAAACCCCAGCCAGTGTTAAAATGCACAGGAAGTACGTTGTGTTAGTAAGTGTATCAGTCTTGGCTTCTGTGAATGAAATAAACGAAATCACACTCATGACAGGAAAAGAAAAAGTACCACTGAGCTCTAAAGTCTATACTGCTTTGGCTAGGTACAGAAATGACTCATGAAAAGGTAGTCCGGTAGATTTTTCCCTAATAAGCATGCAGCTAAATTGTAGTACAGGAAAAATTATTTTTACTTCCTCCGATGTTAAGAAAAAACTTTAAGGTAAGCAGTGTGTGATTATTGGTTTGAAGACAAGTCAGGATTATTATTATTATCACAATACTAATGAGTAATCTGCCATGTGCAGAAAACCTCTGGACAGGTTGGGGGTTCCTTTCATTGAAATAACGTCAAAACGATGTCCCTAGAATGTTATCTGGACATCTTCGCCACTGAGTCCTGTGGAAAGTACCTGGTGACATCAAGAAGGGAGCTGGAATCTTATGTTTGTTGTTTCCCAGTGGCTGGTGCAGAGGACTAGCTGGACCTAGAGGCTCTGGTGGGATCAGCCCGCTCCTGGGTGGGACGTGTGAACACAGGCCATTGACAGTGCCCTGAGCCCCACGCACACTTGTGCAGTGTGATAGTGAGGACCGGTGGTGTGTGACTAGGTACCTACATTATGAGGAAATCCTAGGAGTGGCAAGGCACTTTATTAAAATGTTTTACTATGGTTATAGACTCCTTGTAAGGTCTGTGTGGGACGCAGCGACATCTAAGGGTTAGGAGACCCCCACACAGACAGCTTCGTTTTTCTCCATGAGGCAGACATGCAGCACCTTGTGAAATTTCTACGACTGCCTCTTTATATGTCTGGACACCTAATGCTTTCTTTAATGTACTTCACTCCTTTCTCCTTCATTCTCAATAAAGGGTGGTTCCCTCCCCCATTTCTCAGTCACTCAGGTTTATGGCTGTAATACCTATAAAGCTGTTTTACAAGAGACATTTAACCTGCAGAAATAACAGGCAAAAAGTTTTTTAAATGAAGCCCAACAACCTTCTCTACCACATTCTAACCCTCTGATTGAAATCAATCAGAATGACTGTAATTGCGCTAATAATGACTATGGGTTGACATCAGCTCCCTGCTGGGGATATATTTCAATCTTATGCTCTCAAGACTTCTATGATTGGCTATGAAAATATCAGGCCCAGGAGTAAAATTGAACTGTATCTCAGTGGTTGTATCTCATGCAAAGACATTTCTGATACTCTTGACTAGTAATTCCTTTCCTCCCGATCACAGAGGAAGAACCAAATAAATTGTCTAAGGTCTTACTCACCAGAGTGGCTGCTGATGACATAATCCTTGTTATTGGCAAAGATGTAGCACTTGTCATTTCAGATGCTAACTCCTGAACTAACTCCTGCAAAGCCAAGCATTGGGAGAAACTGGGCTAAGTGCTTGACTATTTTTGCATTTTCGGTTGCACTTGTGAATTAGTAACCTCTGACTGCCAGCCCTGTACAAAACTCATAATTAGGCAAAGCTGGGTTTTGACCCCCGATGAAGGGCTCTTTCTTTCAATGCTGTGTTCTTCTACCCTAGTTTCAATCAACTATTAACTCATGTCACATTTCTGGTGCTTTCACCTAAAGGGGCAAGCAATGGTGATTTCAGTAAAGTGCAGATTCAGAACTGAAGGGGATGGGGGTTAGGAGAAGTTCCTGGTGGCCATGCGGTAACACTAGGACTCTGAGCTCAGAGCTTTGCTTTGCTTTCCTTTCTCTCTCTTTATCTTTGTTCTTTCTTTCTTTCTTTCTTTCTAATCATTTATTCATTTATTTATTTGGTGCAGGGTCTCACTACACAGCTCAGACTCACAGTGATCCTTCTGTTTCAGTCTCCTCAGTGCTGGGATTACAGGTGTGTCCCACCACTCCCGGCTTTTGTGCCCAGCGTGGCACGCCCAGGGTTCCAGGATTGGCATGACACATGATATTGAGGATCGAACCCAGGTCCTTGCGCTTGCCACGGAGACACTTAGATCACTGAGTTATCTTTGACCCCAGAGCTTTTCTTAAGATGCAGAGCTCTCAGCTTTTTCTTATGTGCAGGAAAATCACATGACATGAGAAAAAATGCAAAATGCAAACTTAAAGTCAGGCTTTACATCCCTAGCAATTGTGGTTACTTATCACTTTACTTTTAGAATGGAATTCTCTTAGCAGACATGTTCCAAAAGTTTTGATCAGCATGGTGATGCATACCTATCATCCCAGCTAATTGGGAGACTGAGAGGACACAAAAGCAAGCATACTTAGATGTTCTCCTTTTCCTTAAAAAATAATTACAAATCTGCTAATATTTAACAAGGTAGCTTCCTCTCTCTCTCTCTCTCTCTCTCTCTCTCTCTCTCTCTCTCTCTCTCTTTCTCTCTCTGTATTTTATTAAAAATACAAAAGGGTCTATAGGGTCTACATGGTCTCATTATGCAGATTGGACTCATAGTGATCCTCCTGTGTTCATCCTCCCAAGTACTGGTATTACAGACTTGCAGCACCACACTCAGTCTCAGTTTCTCAGTGTACCCCAGGGGCGGGGCCCACATGGCATGCTGGGCATGGAACCCTGGCTGTTGTGTCTTCCTAAGCAGGTGCTTTAATCTGCTGAGCTATTTAGCTGGCCCTTTTCTTTTTGATTTTTGAGACAGCATCTTGCCATACAGTGCAGGCTGGAGTTGAACTCACAGCAGTCCTCCTGCCTCAGCCTCCAGAGTGCTGGGATTACAGGCATGAGCCATCAGGCCTCACCTTTTCTCTCTTTTATATATATGTCCTCTGGGAATGAAAACGTCCCATAGATAGCACTTTATTACTAAGCTGCTTGCTAAACTTTTTGGAATTTTGATTTGAAATTAAGCATGGCTATCATGTTTTGAAAACTTTTTATAGGGATCCTCTTATTGAGTATGCATAAGAGCCCCCTTTTAATAGATGTGAAAAACTGAGGTTTGGAAGGTTAATCATCTGTGTCCACTATCATCCAGCCATTAAGGTTTCTTCACTCTAAAGATCCAGGCATTTGTGAAAGTTTAGTGAACAGATGAGAGTTGCTTGTGGTCAAGCCACTTTTGTCACCAGCTGCCCAGGTGTGGTGTAGGTCAGAGGACAGGTCTCAACAGCTCTAAATACTGCCTGATGTGACGTTTGTTTCTAGAGGCAGATGATGGGGGAGACAGTGGATAAGTGTCACTTGGTGGTCTCCAGTTTGTGAAACCATTCTGACCCAAATGGTTGGGTTCTGGCCTGGTGGATTGAAAGAGATCATCAGGCTTGCGGATCTACAGCATCTAGGGCAGGTTGTGTCCTTGGACATGCCGTCCGTCCGCTGACTGACACCCACCCCTGTATGTGGACCCATCTCAGCCTTGGTGACATAATGTCTGCCTGGCCCCCAACTCTCTTTGAGTCTAGTCTAAATGCTGGCTTGCTTTCTAGCCACTCCTGGTGACTCTCCACCCCTGGGATTTGGCTTTTCTCTTGGTCTGATCATCAACAGTGTTTGGCTCTCTCTGCTTCCTCCAACGCATTTCTCACTCAGTGGGATGAGTCACCTCTCCTCACCATTTGCAGAGCACCTTACGCCCTAACATCCATCACCCAGCTTTTCTGTCTGCATGAATTGTTGCTCTTCAGATTTTAACATTTACCTTACTTAGAGGGTTGGTTGCCCATTGGATCTAAGTTTCATGATACCAGTGTCAAAATTGAGTCCATATGATATTTCAAAGCATAGCACAAAGAACCACCAATGAACTTCTTATTCCTTCTCACATCTTGCATCACTAACTAAAATTCCTTCTGACCCTTGCATTGTTATTACTTTTATTTATATATTTGGTATAGGGTCATGCTAAGCAGCTCAGACTCATAGTGATCCTCCTGTCTCAGCCTTCCCAAAGGCGGGATTACAGGGTTACACCACAAGGACCAGGTTTTGGTGGCCAGCTTGGCGATGGGCAGGCACACCATGCAGTACCCAGGATTGGATCTGGGTCCTTGTGCTTGCCAAGCAGGCACTTAGACCGCTGATCTGTTTCCCTGGCCCTGTTATTACTTCTTTTAGATCTAACTCTGTAGCACCAAAAATAGACGTGGGGGAACTTAGAGTTGATATTGGTCCTAGTGACTAGACCTGAAATTTATTGCATTGTTTATAGAAATTATAATCTGATAATTTCTTTTGGGTAACTGTCGCCTCCTAAGACATGAAAAGAGCTTCCAAGAATGTTAGACAGAATGCCCAGGTCACCAAGCAAGCTTCTGCAGGCAACCCCAGCAGTCATCAACAAGAATGAGAAGCAAAATGAGATTGAAGGCGGGTCTACCTGTGCTTGGTTGCCGGTGTGCAGGGGCGGGTGTGGCGAGGTCTGGTGATGTGCTGGGTGGGCGTGGAGGTGGGAGTGAGAGTGATGGTGAGGATGGCTCTGCTGGTGATGGGGCTGCGGGTGAGGGTGGTGCGCCGGGTGCTGGTGCTGGTGTGGGTAGGGGTGGTGGGGCGGCAACGTCTGGTGCTGATGTGGGTGAGAGTGCATATGGTGGTGCGGCGTCTGGTCCTGCCGGGAGCCCATCATGTCCATCATATGTCCCATGGTGTTCATATTCCCATTGGACATGGCAGCAGGATGATGAGTCAACGCGGCCTTCAACCTCTGAAACAGAATGAAACAAGAGGGGACAAGTGAGATCACTCAGGCTCACAATAGGGACTTCGAAGCAAAAGGAGAAATATTTACAGGTCTATAGTATTTGATGGTGCAACTGTTCACATTGGCTACAGATAGGAGGACAGATTTTATATCGATCTCATAGTTTCCTACATATGGTAGTGAGTAGGAGAGCAATGTCAGTCTCCACTGCACCATCACAGCAGCTGCAGCAGACTCCCTACCAATGCTTAGATAGTCAGCAGATGTGGGAGCCCTTCCCTGTGCTCTCAGCTAGCCTGAATTGCAAGCAAGTGCAACTTAGTGAGACTGTCTTAAACTAAAATTAAACAAAATAAAAACAAAAAGGGCTGGAATGTTACAAGAATGCTCAGTTTTCTCTAGGTTCGATCTCCAGCAGTGCGTGTGTATGTGTGTGTGTGTGTGTGTGTGTAAGCATGTGCATGTATGCATGTGTGCGGCACGTATGCGGGTGCATAATGCGTGTGTGCATGAATGTGTGTGTGTGTGTGTGTGTGTGTGTGTGACAGCAGCATGAATTAGTTGTCTCACTAAGAGGCATTTCTTGCCTTTTAGTTGTTCATCATACCTTATCAATAATCAAGGGTAAGTACAAACCTAACAGAATCATTCAGTACAATAATGCCATTGAATGGACAGTTTCCACTTGTCCAGCACTGTGTTTGGTAATGACTATAAAAATAAAAGATTTTGCTACTCAAAAGATTTCTCAGATGTGTGGGAGGAACAATTGCATATTTTAAATTCTTTCTTTCTACTGGAATCAAACTCAGGACCTTGCACTTGTGGCCCTAATTTCACACTTTGGAATAAAGTATGATTACTTACACTATTTTGGGGTTTTAAATTAGCATTAGCAACCCATAACTCCTGAGGCAATATGCAGGCCTTTTCCACTTATTACCATGATACTTTTTTTTTAAATGTATTTAGTTCAGGGTCTACAGGGTCTCACTACACAGATCGGACTTGTAGTGATCCTCCTGTTTTCAGCCTCCCCAGAACTGGGACGCCCGGACTCTGGCTGGCTCAGCCCACCCTGGAGGCGGGGTTGGCATGCTCTGTGATGCCGGGGATCAAACCTCAGTCCTTGCGGATGCCTAAGCTTGCCTAAGCAGGAACTTTAGTCTGTTGAGCTATCTACCATGATATTTTTTGTGGCTCCTCCTAATAACCTACATTTCCTCATACTTGTATTGTTTTTGTTAAGTTCAAAAAAGTGAGCAAAGTAGGATGCTGCGGGTTTCTGTACTTATCTACCTTCCATGACAGCCACACCACCAGGCTGCCTATGTCCCTAAATACAAAACAATGTTCATTAACAAGCAAACAAACATGCACACAAATAATTTATAGCTGAATCTAAGGCAGGAATCAGCAACTGTTTTCTCCAAAGAGTCAGTAAATATTTTTGCCATTGTGTGCCTCGCAGTTTCTTTCTCAACTACTCAGTTCAGCCAAGCTAGGGCAAGAGCAGCTGTAGACACATAATTGAACAAGATGTTTTCCTCACACAACTTTATTCAGGGACAGAGAATATAATTTCATATAATTTTCTCATTATATAAAAGGTTGTCCTACTTTCAATGTAAAACCCAATTTTTAACTCACACACTGATTAAAGCCAGGGAGCAGGCTAAGTTTGGCCCATTGGCCATAATCTTCTAACCCTATTCTAAAGGACTGGTGGGTAAGCCACTTCAACCCAGTGTCTTCAAGATTGTTTTTCTTCTTCACAGGCAATTATCATCCTAATCCTGAGGGACACGATGTGCTAAGTACTGGATAATGCATTTACTCCTTGAAAATGTATCCTACAAAGAGATGATAGCCTCATTGGCAAGCTCCCATTGGCTTCATGAAGTATTTACTAGGAGACTCAAATTCTCTCCAGATTTGTGTTCTTATCTGACTGATGATAGCGATGCGTAATCACTGTGAGAACTGCATTTAGATGACAGTGAAGCCACCACACTCTAGCCCTGCGCAGCACTGATGATTCTCAGCCATTAAACTATTAAGAAATACCAAGTTGGCTAATCAAAATCTTGAGTTAAACATAAAGAGGCTGGACTTGTAAAAATAAAAGGAGGGAGGAATGGCATTCTACATACAGCTAGCCATGGCAAACACTTTCCGTATGCTAATCCAGTAACCACTTTGTGGCTGACCTCCGCCTCCAGGAGCAGTGGCTACTGACCTTGGTGAAGAAAGTACTGAGGAAGTTCAGCTTCCTGCACCCCTGGCAAAGATGAGCTGCTGGCCTTAGGTTTACTACTAAATACAACACTGAATTAATAATCCTCCTCTCCAAGTTTTAGAAATGATTTCATTGTTTTTATAAAAATGCTCATTATAAAAATTGAAGCAGTGCTTAAGAGTGCAATGAAGTCAACCACACAGAAGCCAAATGGGCTGTTTATCCTGGTGGGTGAGCAGCATTCCAGAGAGCTCCGAATAAGCACAGAAAGAGGCCAAAGAGCCAGGAGGACAGCTGCGCAACCAGCAAATCATAGTACCTTTAGGAAGCTGTTTTGACTGTGGCAGAGAGAGAGAGAGAGAGAGAGAGACAGAGACAGAGAGACAGAGAGAGACAGAGAGAGACAGAGAGAGAGGGGCAGATAGACAGAGACAGAGATAGGCAGATAGACAGAAAGAAGACCAAATTAAAATTGAAGTTAAATGAAACTTCAATTCAAGAAAACATTCTGAATGGTATTTCCAAACTTAAAGATGAAAACAAACATGAAGAATATTAAGGAGAAATGATTATGTCTTGCTCGATTTCCTGGATAGTATTGATGAACTTTCCAAAACTTTTTATTTTCTAATTTCATTAACATCAAAGTATATAATTGTACAGTAAAAATCAATCTACTGCCTAGGTTTCTCTCCATAAGCCCCGGTCTCACTGCCCACCTACAACCGGCTTGGACCTTCAGACATCTGCATAGCCTTTACAAAGACACATTCGTGCTAGCCCCTTTATAAGGGTAGTTCTGCATTCAGCCCTCTATCAGCACAGCCAGCGGAGGCCGATGAGCGCAATACCTGAGCCCTTAGTATGTGTCAGTTCTCATTCTATGCTTCATAATTATTAAGTCTTTAGTCTTCAAAACAGCTCTATAAACACTGAAAGAGAGGCAAAGCCATGATGGGTAAGCCCCGGTCCTCTACTCAGAAGAGGACAGGGAAAAGGAGTACACTTTGTAGGAAAAAGTGTGCAGGAACACACTTTGGTTGGAAAAGCAGCACACTGTGAGAAACAGTAAAAATCTATGCAAAGCCATCACCCTGGCATCAAAAGGAGAGGTCAAAAGAAAAGAGAAGAAGCTGAGTTGTTGATGCATAGTAAGGCTGGAAGGACAGACAGTAGTCATGGGTTTGCCACATTAGTCAGCAGACAAGTGGAGCTCCAGGTACACTCTGGCTCATGGGTGACAGCAGGGAGCATGGACTGAAAGAATTTCCCAGAAGTCCTGAGCAGCAGCGGACCCATCAGGCTCAGCATCTTCACTTCCCTGTGTTTGTTATGAACTCATACCTAATGTTGTTCCTCACCCAAGAAGTATGCCTTCTTCTCCTTGCTTTATAACTCTGGATCAGAAATATCTGTGTGACATTCAGCAGATAAAAGTCAAAGTCCTTAGTGTGGCCTTTGAATAGTAGTTGCAGGGCCGGGCCCTGCCTCCCCATCACCCCTTGGTCTGTCCTTGTCTTCACTCTGGCCTGCTCTTGGTGCCTGGAGGGAATGTGATGTTTCCCCAGACATGAGGCCTTTGTGTTTGAGACTTTTGTTATCTAGGTTGTTCTTTCCTTTTCTTCAGGTATCCTCTAGCTCTGAATTCAGGATTCGCCTTAGTAAAATTCTTCCTCTTCTAAATCAATCCCTATTGACAATATAGTATCAATTTAGAATAGTATTCCTTTAAAAACAAAAAGCCCTTGTTTTTCAGTTATAAATAAGAGTTTTAGTATGATTCTTCCATTAATATCCATCAATTATCCTAGATCATAAGGTTTATGGGAACATGAATCATTTGAATTTTGCTCAGTGTTAATTTTACAGCTTTAGCATAGAGCCAGATACATATTAGACATGGAATGAATACTTTTGAATTGAATGGATGAATGTAAAAAAATGAATGAATGAATGAATGAATGAATAAGTAAATAAATAAATGAAACTTTCTGAGGCTTAGGACAAGGCTGCAGCATTTTATCTTGGATTACTAGGATCATGTAGGTGAAATTGGCATAGGACGATGATTTTATAACTTAAAACAAATTTAGCGGATTCAGCCACAGAAGTTATGAAGGCAGAAAAGGCTGCAAAAGTACTGCTAAAGAGAGCTCTCCACTCCACTCCCGGACTGCTCTTTAGAAAATGATGGCAAAGGAAACATAAATAAGAGGAGTGTGTATTAAGTTCATCTTGATATATTTTCCCCAAAAATGAGGCATGGGAAATTGAAAAGCTGCTTAGGAGTGGGTCATCATGTTGTCTCTTCAACGTTACAAACAACTTTTCCACCTTTAATTAGGAGCAAATGAAGCCTGACAAATAAATACTACGCACCAGATCTTCATCTCTCGAATAATTAGCTTGTACTGTTAAGGGAAATTACTTGATTGCTTCAAGTCTGCTCTTGCATGTCTCATGCCAAGGTAATAACACCAGCAGTGCTAATAACATTCCATTTAACTATTTACTCACCCAACAAATATTTATTGGGCTTTGACTATGGACCAGGCACTGTAGTAGCTGCATTATTATCTGCCCAGTATCAGCACAAGATGGAAGACACATACAACTAAATCTTCTTTCTTAAAAGCAGTGGAGAGGAAGAAAAAAATGCCCTTCAGTGTGGAAATGAAGAGTTCAATCCCGTTCAGGAAATTTTAGTGTAGGAAACTTCAAACTGGTTGAGTTTACCCACCAAGGATCAGCCTTCATCATTTTT